ATCTGGAGTAATTTCTGTCTCGGCTTCTAGATCGATCATTTCTTCGATTATTGTAACGATCTCGGCTTCTGTCTCATAATTGTGATTGATCCTTCTGTTTAGTACGACATTGGGCAACGAAATGTTCAGTGTGTCCACAATAATGGCAGGTAGGTGGTTGTCTAATTCTATTAGCAGTTGTAGGGTTTTGGCATAGTGTATGGAAGTAGGTCAGGTTTCTGTTGAGCGAGGTTAATGCTAAGTTGAGCTATCTGGTTAGTTAATTGTTTGATAGCTTGGTCTGTGTCTTTGGTAGGTGAGGATATAAGTTGGCCATTTTCCCAATTACAAGCAGCATCAATGGCAGCATTCAAGTCAGCAGGTTCTCCAGCTTGAACTCCAATAGCATATTCAGGTTGAAGTCCTTGGATAAAAAGTTGAAGGATAAAAGCATCTGACAAAGCATCGGTAGGGTCCACACAGGCTTTTAATTTCTTGAACGGGTTATATAGACATCAACTAAGTTTGTTTCTTGCTTGATATCAAAGAATTGTTTTTGCCATTTAATCTTTTGATTAGTAGAGCTGAACTTAGTTTTGAAAAGATAGTAGAAGCTTCGATCTATGGCATGTTCATTCTTGAAAGCATTAGGTATTGGGTTAAGACCTTGAAACCATTCAGCAGCAATCTCTTTTATATAGGCTGGGGCAAGAGTGAGTTGTCGAGCAGCATTCCAGTTATTAGCAATAGCAGCTCATTCAAATTCTTCTAACCATTCTACAGGGTCTTGTTTTCATCACCAGTAAAGAAATCAATTTTAAGAAAAGACTTTTCACTGTCTGGCGCAAGAGCATTGGCCAGGTTAGTCATAGCTTGAGCAGCATTGTTAAGGGCATTATTAACCATATTTACAGGTAGTACTAGGGGTGGAGATGTTACAGGTGGTTGTGGTGGTAAGTTAACTTCGGGTTGTTCTGGAGGAGGTAAAAGGTTTTCTTCGAGTTGGAGAGTAGAATTGGTAAACTTCATTTATTAAGTTTTAAACTCAGAGCATCATTTATATTAAAATTTATGTTTTGATAGTGATAAATTTTTGATTAATAAATTTTATTGAATAAATTTTTTTTAATTTATATCGTTAAAAAACTCAATTGGATCCAAAATGCAAAAGATTACGTTTTATCAGTTGTAAAGGAAATCAAGTTAAAAATACTTTACGTACTATATATGCAGAATTTAAAAAGCGAAATTATTTAAAGTTATTTCAATGACACATTTAACTTCTTTGCCAAACTTCTCGCTTTGTGAATGCGCATAAAGCAGTTCCTCTTCTTGATTAGAATCCATATCACTTCGATAACCTTGGATTAAATGATAAATATAAAAGCGTGTTAAATAAAGACTATTTAAACATCTAAACTTACCATAAAGGGTTTATTGAATCTGTTTTTTCATCAAGCTCACAAAACCAAGATAATAACAAAGTTACAAATTATCTTGCTTTTCTTGAGCTTGGTTTTGAAGATCTTATAGTGTAGTAGTTTTTACAAAAATGGCTATTTTCGATTTTAAGTAAGATTTCTTGAAATTCCTTAACAACACACCAAGTGAGCGAATACAGAAAATATTATAAGTGCAAAACAAATGTTATTAAAGTTAAAGTTATTTGGCAAAATGGTATTTCTAAAGTGTAATATGAAAACAAATGATTTTACTATTTCTGACATCTAGGATATATTAAATAATATATGTAGCGAAAATAGTACAGAATTGTTTTTATAATGCCAAATTATATCATATGTTGTGATAATTGTACAAGTTGTTTTTGTAATATATACTGCAAATTATAAGTCATGTAAATTGTAATCAATGAAAATTCAAACATCAGTCAAAATTTTTTACCAATTCTCGAAAATCTAAAGTTTGTAATCAATTGATTCTAAGCTCTACTCAGGGTATTTTTCTAGCTGTATTATGTACCCAGATATTTATGTAGAGAATATACTGTTTTACTATTAAATATATGGGTCAAGATTAGGCATCACAGGTACTGCCCAAAGAGTATATACATGTTACAGAAATATAGTGATCCAATATATAAATTTATTTAGTAATGATTTACTTTTTAAAAATTATATAAGGACCTGTTATTCATGTAAATAATTTTATATTTTTAATATAGTATATTATAAAAAAATTTTAAAATGCCTCATCAAAAACTTACTGAACCTTGTGCTATTAATAATTGTACTAGTTCTGCTAAATCTTTTAGAAATGTAACTCAAGATTTTAAAAACAAAATTAATAAATATTTTGATTTAGAATATAATTATTTAAAAGTTAATGAAGATCAAATTTGTTTTGAACATTACATGACTATTGTTAATTTTGTTGCTAGTAAAATATCTGAAAATTTAAAATCAAAATTCTTTATAGATTTAGGTGATATTATTAAAACTAGTAATATTTTTTCTAATTATTCTAATATATCTAATGATTACTTAAAATTTTATGAAGAAAATTAATATATAGATTTAGATATTAATAATTTTTCAAATATAAAGATAAAAATTATTAATGATGGTATATTTATAGATCGAACAAATTTTAACAAATTAATCAATAAAATTATTAATCAAAAACTTCAAGAAATTAATTTAACTCAAATATGTAAGTTTATTATTTATTAATTATTATATAATATTAATAATATTATCATCTAGATCAAAAACTCTTTCCACTGATCCTCAATTTCAAAATTGACAAAACAAATATTCAAGTTTTACTCAAGAAACGGCCTAATCAACAACTTTTGGAAGACTAAGTAAAAAGGTTCAGCAAGTTAAAGAGCTATAATTTACTTAGAACAACAGTTAGCAAAGCACTGAGCTAAGACTAAGCAAAAGATTTTTGCGAAAATTTTTTCAAAATTTTCTACAAAATTGGGAGATTGCTCTTACCTCTGAAAATTCAATCAAAAACAATATGTGACTAAGATCTTTAGCAACAAAACAAACAAATAAACAAACACGTACTTTTTAGAAATACGTGATAGTACAACAAATCAGATAAAGTAAACAAAAGAAAAATCTTGCACATGCAAATTAAACAAAGCAAATATGAATATATAAAAATTTCTAGAAACTGATGGAATCTGATAGAAGATTATTAGGAGTAGATAGTCTCTTCGAACTGGTGTATGCGGTATCTGAAAAAGTACTTAGATATTTAAATAGTAGTGATTTAGTAGAAATTCTTTGTACATCCCATCCATACGAACCAGATGAAATAAATGCTTTTGTTAGGGATCTTATAGTACAAGACCCAAACAAAATTACAGCATATGAAATGATTTTATAAGGTTAAATCTGAGATGCACTCAGAAAAGCAGAGAATTATTTACAAGAAGGCACAATTCAGCAATGGACAGTTGTAGCTAGAATAGCAAGAACGAACCCATCATCAATAGAATATATTACAAGTATGAGTGAAAAAGAAATTAAGAAAGAAGAAAGTAAAATGGAAGGAATAGAGAAGGTTGGTCTGGTAGAGAAACCACAGACACTTGGTCCAAAAAAAATAAGCTCTCCTGAAGAAGAGGTCAAAGCAAATAAAGATATAAATCAGGTTGTTGAACAGATGCAAGACTTGAACATCAAAACTAAACAACAAATGATATCAGACTTTGATTTAGCAGAAGTATTGCAAGCTGCATCGCAGGTAACCTCTTTACAACATCAAACAAGCAATTAAGACAAAGAATCTATAAAAGATTTAGAAGAAGAGAACAATAAAGAGAACAAAACAATAGGAGGAAAAAGAATTAAGAAAGACAAAGAAGCTCCAATTGAAAGCATTCTAAAAGACACAATCTTACAATACAAAAAAGAAACAAAAATCATCAAAGCACAGTTGAATAATATCCAGACAGAAGAGAATAGTCTACAAGTCTTCACAGCTACTTTAGAGCAAAGTATCTGGTCGCCAGAGAATAGATCATGTGAAAATAGACAACTATTTTTGGCAAATATGCTAGTATACAGTCTTCCAGAAAGCACAGCAGAAGAAAGAGCTGGTTATATTAAAAAAATTCTTGGTAAAATAAACACATCAAGAAAGTCGAAGAAAAATTCAAGAACAGAAACCCTTGGGTAGAAGTAGCCTTTGACTGCAACTTTGAAAGAAACTCAGCAATCGAAAGAATTAAGAGAAAAGAAGGTGACTGGTTGATTTTAATCCCAGAGTGAAGAAAAGATCCCAAAGCAAAGCGAGGGAGTCAAGATAAGAAGCTAAAGGAAAAACAGTACCTTTGGGAAAGAAAGGAAAACTCTGGCCGAGAAACAGTAAACAAAGGAGAAAACAATCTTAACAATAGTGAAGATTCTCTAGAAAAGAAGGATCAAATAGTAAGGAAAAGATATGATCATAAAAGACGTATAAATATAGACTGCATCACAGTCTGGAATTTACCAGCAGACATAAAGATACAAGAAATCAAGTATATGTGTAAAAAATTAGAAGAGATAGAAGATATGTATATTAAGCGTAGAAACGGCAGAGCGCTTGCAGTAATAGAGTTTACCACAAAGATAGAAGATAAAGATATATCCTGGGCCCTTTCAATAGGTGATGAAAGATTAGCTAGAGTATCAAAAAGGAAAGAAGATCACAAAGAAAGAGATCAAAGGCATAAATTTGTAGCAAAATTAACTGGAATTACTGAAGAACTCTTAGAAACCCTTCTTCTTAGACATCTAAAAGACAGAAAAGCTAAAGCGGTCTATATCCCTAAAAGGAGAAGTAGTTTTATGAAGCAAATAGCAAAAGTAACTTTTGCTACAGAAAATGAAATAAGAGAAGCACAGAATAAGTCAGTAAGATATAATAACTTACAACTCGTCTGGCTACAAAGTGGACAAAGAAAGAATATGGAGGAGGTAAGTAGTTCAGAAGAGAAAGGAAGTTATGACAACAGCTTAAGAGAAAGAAAACAAGCATATGATGAAGAGGAGATCTCATCAAGAGAAAGAAGATATAATAGAAGAATATTCTCAGTAAATGAAAGAGATCAAACACCAGATAGAAAAGATGTTAAATGAGGTGATAGAAGTAGTTGGAGAAATAAAATAGAAGACTCTAACACTAGTCGAAAACTATGAATTCAACCTGGTCGAATTACAATAACATTCGGCAACAAATCGGCTGATTTTTTTAAAATTCGGTAGCTTCAACATTAATTTGACCTAATTTAGTCAAAAATTCGACAACTGAAGTTTAATAAAATTTGACTATGCCGATTTCTTCAATAATTCGACTTAATTTAGACTAAAATTCGACAACTGAATTTTAATAAAATTCAACTATGTCGATTTCTTCAATAACTCGACCTAATTTAGTCAAAAAATTCAATACCCGAATTTTAATAAATTCGACTATGTCGATTTCTTCAATAATTCGACCTAAATTAGGCAAAGATTCGACAGCCGAATTTTAATCAAATTCGACTATACCGATTTCTTCAATAATTCGACCTAATTTAGTCAAAAATTTGACATCCGATTTTTAATCAAATTCGACTATGCCGATTTCTTCAATAATTCGACCTAATTTAGTCAAAAATTTGATATCTGATTTTTAATCAAATTCGACTATGCCGATTTCTTCAATAATTTGACCTAAATTTAGTCAAAAATTCAGAAATTGAATTGAATTGAATTTTAAAATCGAAATTTTATCATATCATTTTTACATAAAAAATCGAACCATATTCGACTACATAACCAGCTTCATTATAAAATTCATGCTGTATTCTACTTTATAATAGTATCAATTAAAGCGTATCATAATCATCATTAAATAAAAAATCGAACTATATTCGACTACATAACTAGCTTTATTATAAGCTTCATTATAAAATTTATGCTATATTCAATTAAAGCATATTATAATTAAAAACAATTGATCTATATTCGACTATTCATGCTGTATTCAGTTAAAGCATATCATAATCATTTTTATATAAAGCTTTATAATAAAATTCATGCTATATTCAATTAAAGCACGTCATAATCATTTTACATAAAAAATCGACCCATATTTGACTATATAATCAGCTTCATTATAAAATTCATACTGTATTCAATTAAAGCACATCATAATCATTTTACATAAAAAATTGACCCATATTCA